ACGCCCCCAGCCTCCCTGAAGACACAGGCATTGCCGGCGCTGCCCCCCAGCAGCAGCGCCAGCAGCTCCAGCGCTGCCACACACACCTCCTCCCCCTTCTCGTCCCCCACACTCGCTGCACCTGCAAATATCTCGGTATTAATACACACCAAATAGCGACTTATTAATACACTCGCAGCACCTGCAAATATCCCGGTATTAATACACACCAAATAGCGACTTATATTATAATACACAGCCATTTAAATGAAATGAGAACTGCTACCACTCCCCTTATTGTAAGCGACATTCTCTGCACCTACTCAATTGTAATACTAAATATGCACCATAAAGATTTATTGTAAAACAATTTAACTTTTGAAAAGAACATAATTTCTTCGCAGTAAGTGCCCCTTTTGTCCATCACATTCGCCGCTGCTGGCGCACCTGCAACATTCATACCACTTAAAACATTAAAAAAAACTTCATTAAAAACACTCAAATTCTTTAATATAAGACAGACAATAACAATAAAGAGACAAAAAATGAACACTCATCAAAATACCTAACTAAACCTTTTCTTCCCATACATTTCGTTCCACGCAGAAAAATCTATGGCCAGAATTTCAGCAAATAATCGAAACGAAACAAATTTGCAAGATGGCGGTCACAACCTGAGAATTTTGGAATGAAGATTCTTTAACTGTTTTAAATCTAGTCGTACGTTTTTAGTCTGGGCGTTAGGTGCTACAACTCTCGTATGGGCATCAGAAACATTTACTCTACATTACAACATGAATTATAGATGTATATAGAACACAGAACATAGATAAGAGCTGGGTGAACATTAACCCTGAGAACAAAACGTAACTCTCATAATAGTGTGGTCAGTCTTAAAATGCCTAGCAAATAAGGGACCAGGCAATAAGTCCAGCAGCTATCTCAATCAATCGTCAGTTATAGAAAGATCGGGTTCCAAAGGCCGGATCCCTTGTGAATCAAGTCACGAAAAGTTCAAGAATCGGCAACACCTGGGGCCATACTTTCAAAGTAGTAGTAGTAGTAGGGAGAGGTTTCTAGCGCTTCAGATCAGTGTCGTCTATTTCGCGCCGAAGGTCCAATATTCGTTTTGCAGGGTCAGCAGGCTTCTTCGTTGGTTTCAGGCTCGTAGCCTGATCCATCTGGTCTAGGGTGTATGCTTCTTCATTCCCAAGGCGCAGGTTCTATCCGTCTTCAGCTATTTCATCTCAACCAGTAATATGATGACACGAATATGACGTCTTGTCAGAGGTGTGGGTCTTTTCTGACCTCTGTCAAGGTGCCGTGCTAGATATCTGGCAGCAGGTTACACTCGATTAGGTATTGTCTAAGGTTGTCAGTTCTAAAGGTGCTTCGGGGAACTTCCCTCAGCATCCTAGACAGCATTTCATTTGGGCTGAGAGCAGTGGTGTTGGGGTAGTAGTTTTGCCGGGTATCACTGTGGCTCGGGCATTCCGCCATAACATGCAAGACCGTCAGGGGTACCAAACAGTCATTGCAATACGGCATTGGACGGCGTTCGATCAGGTACCTGTGAGTGAGGCGCGTGTGACCGATCCTTAGTCTGCACAGCGCTACCTCCATCTTCCGGGATTTCTGGTATGATGAACTCCACGCTCGTACACAATCCTTAATTGCTCTTAGTTTGTTCTCTCCCACGTTCAGCCACTGTTCCCGCCAGATATGGCGGATGCTTGCCTTGATGATAGGGTAGTGGTCCCGGCAAGGGACTTGATCGCTATGGATCGCCTGGTCCGAAGAGGCGGCGTTTACCGCAGCCTCATCCGCCCTCTCGTTGCCTCGCACCCCCACGTGTCCGGGCACCCAGCAGACGCTCACCGCTCTCCCCGCCCCCGCCAGGCGCACCAGCCCGATTAGGATCTCCCAGACGATGGGGTGCCTGCTATTATAAGCTCTCAAAGCCTGCACCACACTTTTGGAGTCTACAAATATTGTAAAGTCGTCTCCGGGCAGTTGGTCTATGAGGCTAAGGGCACAGCTGACACCGACCAGCTCGGCGGTGAAGATTGACGAGCTCGAACTGAGTCTCCTTGACACCACCGCCGCGCCGGCCGCAGCTGCACATCCCACTGCGCCGTTCGTCTTAGAGCCGTCGGTGTAAATATGCGTAGAGTTTGCATGCTTTGTGGATGCATGGTTGAGAAAGAGGTTTCTCATCTCGGTTGGGTGTGAGCTTTGCTTCAGTGGGTAGTTTTGGTCCGGGCAGAATGTGTTGATTGGGATGCGCCATGTAGGGGTATCCTCAAATATGACTGGTATGACCTCTATTACATGAGCCTGCGTTGTTGNTCCTCTAGAATAAGATGTGTATAAGAGACAGCTATTTTCTTGTCTATGATTGGTGGATTTTGGTTGAAAGGCCGTCAATGATTGGCTGATGAACTTACGATCTCTTAACTTTTTTTGAAAGTATGGGCCCAGGCCATGGGCCTATTTCTTCAGTGCTGACATTTCTATTCTATTATGAGAGAGAGCACCTGAGCTTTCTTTGTTTCAAGCTCACTCACAAATCATGACTGGGAGAATCCGAGGGGGAAATGACATCAAAACAGCTTCTTGAAGGGGAGACTCACCCTGGTGGGGGTGCAGGCAGGGGAGGGCACTAGACTCACCCTGCTGGGGGTGCAGGCAGAGGAGGGCACTAGACTCACCCTGGTGGGGGTGCAGGCAGGGGAGGCACTAGACTCACCCTGGTGGGGGTGCAGGCAGGGGAGG